ATGTATTAAATGTGTTACAATAAGGCGAGGAATAGTAATTTATTACAGTTCCTAAATGTTGTAACTATAACATAAGACAAACATAAATCCCTAGTTAACTGTATTTCTCCTGACACAAAAACGTCATCGGAGAAGGCTCTATCCAGGTAATAAATGAGTGGCTAATATTTTTTTTACTGCATTTATATCCTTGTGTAACCTTTTTATATACCTTCTAATTAAATGATTCACTTTAAACAAACGCAATTTGATATTGTTTTGATATTAAATAGAATAGTTGTAATATTGTTTGTTGTAAATTTCATTATTGTTTACTGCAAATTGTAAATATTCTATAACCCTTTTAAATAAAATTCGCACATTTCAATAATATAATGTCTACAATTAAATTATGAACTTAATTCTTATTTTCTACTTCTTATTATTTAATAGACGATGTGTAATGCGATTTGATATAGCTGTTTCTGAAATTTTTTTTTATATTACATACATTATCGATTAACTTTTGTAAATTTCATTAATGTTTACTTGATGCAAAGAAGAATTTTAATGATAGAAAAATAAAAATAGAAAATAGCTTTCATGTTAGAAACAGTGACTTCCACAGTCGTGCGCGCCAACTGAGCTGTCGCTCTAGTCGTAATCCCTGGCCAGGCGCATTCACATGTTATAACTTAGGCCTATGTAGTAGAAAGTTTGCCCTTATATATCTAGATTAATCGTTAGAACACTCTCTTCTGCTTTCATGTTAGAAACACTACAGTCTATTACACATGCCAATTCATCGAAAATACCTGGTAATACGTTAGCATAATTTCTGACAGAGTCGTGGTGACACTAGTAATACGAATTCGATGCGACCTGTCATAAAGTACTATAAAAAATAATAAGTAAAATGATAGATTTTGACAAGTAAATTGGAAATCGTGTACTGAATTAACAGGAAGGGAGCCGCGAGACTGATTCTGCTGAAGGCAATGCTTCTTGTCATGTGAGTCAATACAAAAAAAATAGCATGTTTTTTTAAATTTTTTTTAATTGTGAATTAGTAAACATTTTTACCTCTCAGAATAAACAGTGTTAACGGATTAATAGGAAGCACAACGTACTTATGGTTCTACAAAATAACGTTTTCAACACCAAACTGTAACGTTATTATAGCGTTCTTTTAACTTAATATTGTTAGCTGGGTATCGATTATAATATGTCGAGGGAAGTAGGCTACACTCAGCAGCTTAGTAGGCTATGCGAGCAGCTTAGCTCAGTCGGATAATCTGGTGGTAGCTACTATGTGTGCGCTGAGCCGTGGAGATCTCAAGGTCCCCGGTTCAATTCCCATCGCTGCTTTCCTTCAGCTTGGGGGTGAGGTGCAACTTACGATAGCACACCGCCTTCGGATGAGACGTTTAACAGTTGGTCCCATGTGCATTATGGCCCATGTGCACGTTACTCTTCGGAAAAGAGTAGGGAATTGTCTTCCGGTGTAGCGGCCCAATCACCACCAGAAGGACCGTACTGGAAATAAGTCTTCTTCTAGACTTTCGTGGGTTATCCTTTTATACCATTCATTCATGCATAGTATGCAACGAAATAGAAACGCAGAGACTGTGTTGTGATTTTTATGAAACTTGTTATCGAGTCATTAGCCTAACGTTAATTAGGCCATAGTTGTCAAAAATCACTAAGTGTAATGGTAGGCCTGGTGTGCTTCCTTGTACTGCGAGTCAATCAACCGGTAAATGGTTGCAGCATAACCTGTTGTTACGGCCGTGGCACGCGCTCCTTAATGTGACCTTGGTGAATACAGCGCCAATGGCAAATAAAGTGGTCACAATATTGATGGTAAACACTTCGTCCATCTCTTTGCGTTTGGGATGCCAACATCAAGTTTTTTTTTTTTTAATTAGGCCAGTACGGTATATCAGGAGTCGGTTCCAATACTCTATCAAGATCTAAATTACTGTAGTTCGTTTAAGCGATGTACTGCTTTTGCCTGCGGAAAACGTCAGTAAATCTATCGTAAAAGGTTGATGTTAGTTGTGTTTTGAGAAAAGGAAATCATCTGCCGAAAGCAAAAAACATTATACAGTTAATATGAGCCAGAAATATTCTGTTTATAATACTCTAGTTCTGTCTCTTATACACATCTAGATGTGTATAAGAGACAGGCGAAAGTGTTAGCGATGTTTGGACACCAACCAAAAGCTGTGGGTAATTAGCGAATAGCGATTTTATGGAAACCAAGCTTTAACCTGCTAAAGGTACTTATGTTAACCTGATAAGGTACTCATGTGAACTTGCTAAGTTGCTCAAGTGGACCTCTATAGGTGCTGATTTGAACCTTGTGGTGCTGTTGTGAACCCTGCAAGTACTAAGTTGAGCCCCAAGTTACGTAAAAGGCACAGTAAAATACAGTATATAAAATACTTTTATGGTTTTATATATATTCCTACATATATTATATATTATTTATCTATTTCTTTATATACATGTATATATAATATATATAAGTATATATATATATATATATATTAGAATAGTGAATAATATTTGTGAAAGGGTGAGAAAACAATAATGCCATTTGTGTTTAACATGTTTGACTTTTCCTTTTTGAAAGTAGGTGAAAAACATTAGCAATTAATATTCAATTCTCTATTTCGTACATTCTGACTTCCTTGACTGGCAACGCGATATATTCCATAACAAAAGGAATATTCGATTAGTAACTAGCAGAGTATGGTTACAGATTTAATCACATATCAACTTCAATTATATGTTTTTCAACCCAACCCAGAAAAAAAAATGCTTTCGCTGTAGCCTCCTACTTAGTATCGGGATTGTGTATACTCGTGTGAACGGCGTTTCATCACCTAATTGCTCCGAAAATTATCTTATCGGGTTACAAAATGCGAGCAATCGCGTAAGTAAGTGCTAATGTATAGGTTTTCACGTTATAAATATAACTGAATAGCGATGCTGGTTTTTAATATTATTGTTAAATGACTCGTTAGTGTTATTGCACCTATACAATTACGAGATTTTGCTGAATATGTGAGCGCCTTGCTGTGTGTAGGCATACACTGTTGGTATTCTCGTCTAGCTCTCTTCCAACAAATTTTAAATTTCATTTCAATTAAACGTTTTATTTCTTATAGAAAAGTATAATCACAAAAGCTTGAGATGAAAACGATTTGATTAAAAAAAAAGGCGTGGACAAAAGAAAAAAAAATACAAGATGGTAGTAAAATTAAAATAGGAACACCTTTGATATATTGACAATCATTGCCAGACATTAATATAACATCTTGTATGTAATTAGCACTTATGGGAGCAAGCGTGTTTTCAGTGTATAGTAAACCCCTAATTGTTCGCGACCCTAAATTTCAGCGAAATCATTTTCGCGACCATTAGCCTAACTTTCACGATGGAAATGTTGACAATTTTTCCGATTCTCAGGTTTCATTTAAGTAAAATGTAGGCCTACTATTTAGTTTTATAGTTTAGAAGTAAGCTTATGCGTCGGCGTAGGCCGTCACTTGAGTCTCTCCCAACACTGCTTCCTGATGAGCGTTAGACGACGCGACACCGTCTGCTGATTGACGTTGGCAGCCGAAATGGATCGTCATTAATGAGGATCCGTTGCACGCGCGTCCTCGTGGCGTTGCATTTATGCTGGGGGTTGAGGTAGTGGGTGGCATTGAAGAACCTGGTCCCAAGCCGCATGGCCAATGGTCCCGGGGTAGGATGCTCTCTATTTTGTACCTGGGGACGAGGGGTACCGCGCGTGTTTTAGTACGTTTAATCTTTGGCTTGTCGGGCGGGCGGGTGAGCTATAGCGCTTTTTTTCTCCGCTCCTGGACCGCCACTGTATTGACCGCAGTAACTGTAGAAATTACTGTTATCTTACGGTGCCTTATAAGATGAACATTACAAACCAAAATTTTTAGGATTTAATTGGTGTACACACCAAGGATAACCCAGGAAAATCTGAAGACTTGTTTTCCAGTGCGGTTCTTTTTGTGGTGATTGGGCAGTACACCGGGAGACAATCTCCTATTCTTTGTACACTGCGTTTTTAAGGTGCACGTGGGCCACAATGCACACTGGACCAACGGCTTAAACGTCTCATCCGAAAGACGGTGCGCTATCCTAAATTGCATTTCAGCCCACCAGCCGAAACACAAGGAGAGCAGCGATAGGGGTTGAACCGGGGACCAAGGGATCCCCACGGTTCAGCACACACACAGTGGCTATTAACACCAGTTTAGCCGTCTGACCTAAGAGGTTAACCAACGGATTTGCAAACACACTCCACTACGACCGCAGTTCAAGGCCGTTAATATTGGGTCTTTCCCTCAAGATTCCCGGCCTATTAACAGGTGTTTATACCTATTATGATTTTTTTTTTAAAGAAAAAACAAAGGATTATGATACAAACGAGTACTAACATTTTCTTTCGCTTTTATTCTTTTATATTATAGTTGAGTAGGCCATATCTTTGATTTTTTTAACAGTAAGCATAAGCTACTTAAGAATACGAAGCCTGATATAATAACAATTTTATATAACAATAATTTAATTTCGCGAGTAAAACTTTATTGCGATTAAGGGCGAACAAACAATGGTTTATTTCTTAACGATCGATACAGTCGGTATTGAACTCAACAAAGAAATGTGGAGCCGACTTCGTTCTGAGTGTACACCAATTTGTTTGAATTACCAGTTTTGATTATATTTGTTATATCAACTGAAACTTTGCTGTATGATTTTATAATCTACATAATCGTTTCCCTCGAGAAACAAATGAATCAACTTTAGAAGAAGTTTTTTTATAAAATACATTCTAAATATTTGACAATTGTATAAGTATAACAATCATTTGTATTTAATTGCTGTGGACAAACTTCTTCCTCGAAAGAATTACTTTGTTCTAAAATCTTACTTTTGTCTAAAGTTCCCTATATTTATTACACATTTATAGTGTGTTTTTTTTTAATTAGGATTTAATGATTATTTCCTGTCTCTCAATCCACTAAACAACTCAAGAAACAAATGGTTCAAGTCATTCTGGGAGGAACAACATAGCTGCTCCTTTGATGTACCGGGTGGTAGCAACAATGTGACGTCATGTAAAGGCAAGTGTTAATGTATAGGCCTACAATATTATGTCTTCAGACACAATTATATGGAACGCCAAAAAGACAAGTGACAAGTGGCGGTAGTGTGATCATAATAATTGGCGGTAGTGGAAAAGTCAAGTGGCAGTGAAAATGTCTTTGTAATTTGTCCTTTTGGCGTTCAATACAAGCAGTGTCAAACTATAAGTAGCAATCTGTTTTTCACAAGACAAACATACACAACAGCACTACATCATTGTGCAACTGAGGGAGTGAAGTTGTTTTGGACATGAGGGGAAAAAAATCTTGCTACTGAACCTGGACATGAATTGAGCAGCCCAGGACATTGTGATTGGAAGGCAAGAGCTAGCCTCTTAACCACCAGGCTACAGCTCCACTTATTACGCCAGGCAAATGGACACAAAAATCATACAAAGCTGTCGCTTATCCAAAAGTACAAAATACACCTTTTCCGCTAAACCCCGCCCCTTGGATTTCGATTGCACGACGACGGTAAAACGTAGAACGTAATGACGTCACTAAAAGTCATCTGCGCATGAGAGAACGTTATGGTCACCTCGTCGAGCAGATTCTGGAACGCAATTTGGCCAAATCTACGTATGCAGAAAACGTAGGACGCCAGGTAGGACGGTCATGCATGAGTGATTCCGTTCTAGCGTCGTGTCGTCGCAAAAACCGAAAGCTCCTTAATACTTCATAAGGTCCGACAATCAAATAGCGGAAATGTACGTAACAGTGCGTTTTTATTTGGGGGAAAACACGTGTGTTTGTTGAACACGCGCGTACTCCTGGCACTGTTCTGATTGGTCAGTTGTTAAGTTTGATTGACGCCCCCACCCCGGAAAGTACATTGGTGGCCGAACGTACTCACTTCCCTAATACAATGTCCTGGTTTAATCATGATTTTAAAAAAATTAAAAAAAAAAAAGGCTATATCTGGAATATATCTGGTGGTTCGAACTTCGTTGTCGAGGGTTTGAAAAACCACACGCTGAGACCCATTCTCGGCCGGCCGTGATTATTTACCCCAGCTTGCACTGTTGACGGGTTGTGAAGTGGCTTTCGCTATGTTTCAGCCCAGGTGCGACTATTTCATTGCTTATAATTGAATATAAATATTGTGGCCGCCTTTCATCAATATTGATGGTAACATCAGGCCTGACATACCTAGATTAAAAAAAAAAGAAAAAACAACAAACAAACAAACAAAACCATTAATAAAGCCTCAAAAACAGAGTTGGTTTGAATTACAGGGTACCAAACGTCCTAAATTTGTCCTAAATTCCACTTGTAAATTAATCCCCTTCGCTAAATATGTTTTTTTTTTTGTTTTTTTTTTTCTTTTAAATAAGCATTTTGGAGGTGGATCCAGGAATTCGAAAGAGGAGCCCACAAAAAGTGAAAGTCCCGACCACCCCAGCACCACCATAATTGAGGTTGAGTTCCAAGATTGTATGGAGGGAGGTGGGGCAGGAAGGGTTGGCCTCCTTTTATTCCGCATGTATAACTAATAGTAGATAAAGAATCGTGATTTCAGAATATGAAGGCCATTCAGAGTCGATAGCAAAATTCTAACACGATTTTACATTTTCGTTATTGGAAGTATTAATGTAGGTATGGTAACGTTAAATCGATAGACTACCATATTATAGAGAATATTGAAGATTGTTAGACCTATACAATAGGCTTCTCACAATGATGGATAAAATTATCGGTACCGTATGAATAATTCTTTCCATCCGGGAATTTGCTTTGGTGAACGGCATGATAATTTAAAGCGCCTAGGCATTGAAAATATGCGCAATAAAATTGTAATAAAACCGACTTAATTATAAAACATTTATTTATTACAGCATAGTGCATGTATAAAATGTTAGGTGATATATCTGATCCAAATGTGTATAATGTTGTGTGGTTAAAATACTAAATAGAGTGCTCTCGCCATGAGCTCAATACCACTATTAGAGTCGTACGGTAGTTTATCTAAATACTCCAAAATGTGTAGTGTCAATTTTGATAACACCTTTTTAAACATACCTATTTTTAGACGAAGCTTTGTTTAAACCTCCTGTATTTCATGTAAATTACACTACCGTGTCCGGTTACTGTGATATTGCCTATATTTATTTGGAATTTGAATAATAGGATTATTGCACATTCGG